GGAAAAAATTTTTTCCAGTTCTTGACTTTTCAGTTTTCCTCTTCTTTCTTCTTTTCCTTTTGCATGCGTACTTTCATGTGCACTACTACCCTCCCCCCTAGAAGGAAAATCCTTGGGTGAAAACGTGAAAAAAGTGGGAAATTGGTAGGTAGGTGACGGGGGAAGAGGGAGGAGTCGTATCCAGACCTTCTCTTAGATGGGGGGATGGTCGTATTAACACCACCATTTCACACATTACGATACCGTGCCCTGTCTGTCTCCCCCTCTCCCGTTTAACAGCGAAAGTTTGGGAAACTAGGACAATTTTTGGGGAGTTCCGGAAAAAACTGGGAAAAGTGGTAGGAAAGATGTGGAAGGCGGTCGTATTTTCCTTGCGGTTTTTCCCGTTTCACTTTTGCCCTCGCTCTACAGCTCGATCGTACCAAAGGAGAGAACTAAAGGCTAGATGAAGGGAGGGGAACACAAGTCACCTTTCTGTAGCGGTGGGGCGTCGTACGGACTCGTTTGAAAGTTCCATCTATGAGTGTGTGTATTCCGCGTGTTTTTTTGAAGCAATGCTGACCACCCTCGAAATGTGGAAGTTCTTTTAAGGGTTGTTTTCAGGCACGACTATTGGTGCGTTGCAATGAGGCAGGCTTTCCTGTGCTTTCCCCTAAGATTACTTCTTGTTTATATATTATATATATAGTATTGTTAAGACTCGAATAAGGCGATTAGGCTGCTTATTATTCACCCCATATATTAGGTTGTCCGGAAAGTTCTTAGCGTTTTGTGCACCTAATCTTTGTACATTCACTGCTGATTAAAAACTCATTCTGCCTTGCTTCTCAGTAGCACATCCTGTAGAGAATTTCTTGCGCTATCTGATGGTATAATTGCCGTTTCACCATGCTTGATAAACCCTCTTTTTTCAAGATTTTTTCAAGCATGTGAAAAGAGCATTCGGACGATTTTTTTCTTCGGCTATAAATTGGGGCAATCCGCAATCGAAACAGCTCAACAAATTAACCAGGGTGTGGAGGCCCAATAGTGCTAGAGAAAGCACTGTGCCGCAATGGCTCAATATTTCGCTCTGGAGATTTCAGCCTTGAAGGTGAGCCTCATAGCGGTCGACCTAAAGCAATATCTGACGAGGATTTTAGGGGGATTTTGAAGGTTGACCCATCCCAAACAGTTCGAGAGATAGCAGAAGAGCTAGGCCTTGGCAAATCCACTGTTGCAGATGGTCTGGAACGCATTGGAAGGTGAAAAAACTCGACAATTGGGTGCCCCACAAAGCGGCACCCAGTGAGCCGGCAGGACCATGGAACGGGGGTTTCTCGCCGGAGCGTTCCTTCTTCACTGCTTTTGCGCAAAAGAATTGACCCGTTTTTGAACGGATTTGTCACCTGTGATGAAAAATGGATCATGTATGATAACAGGAGACGTTCCGGACAGTGGTTGGATTTGGAGGAACCACCGAGGTAATTTTCAAAGCCGAACCCTCGCGAAAAAAATTCTGGTCAGGTTTGGTGGTCATCGGCTGTTGTAATCCACTATAACTTTTCATCACCAGGCCAACATCACAGCAGAACCCTACTGTGAACAAACCGACCAAATGTACCGAAAATATTGTCAGCTGCAGCCAACACTTATCAAAAGAAAGGGTCCGATTCTTTTGCATGACAACGCCCGCCCACACGTTTCACAAATCACTATCCATAAATTGAACGAATTGGGAGTTGAAGTTCTACCTCACCCACCATATTCTCTAGACCTTTCACCAACCGACTGTCACC